TGACTGGGCAAGCTCTTCATATAGAAGAGCTACTACTATCACTATCGTAATAGGAGCTAGCCCAGTAGGTTACGATGCCAGACTTTCGCCTAACAGATATCAGGATCAAGCCCGGTCGCAGGCAATCTACTGGGCTAGCTCCTTTTGGAGCTTCCCTCTCTGAAGGGGCAAGGTCGATTTCGACCGCTCGATCTTGAAGATCGCGCGACCGAGATCGGCTGTGCAAGTGAACATGGCCTCTGCGCAAGGATGACATGCATAAATCGAGAAATGGTGCAAAGTATTTTGAGTCCGTCGGGATTCGAACTCGGGTATGTATTTCAACAGTTCGTGTGTGATCCACGAACGGATTCATCCGTTGGCACAAGCCAACAAGAAAATAGCTAGGAAAAAAAAAAAAAAAAAAAAAAACTATAGTGAAGCGCCACATGGTGCAGGCTGAACTAGCAGGGCACCAGCCCTGAAAAGACAACGTGCTGCCCATTTCATGGGGCAGCATCAAAGGTAAGTTTTCATTTTTCGTTTTTTTTTTTTTTTTTTTTAAAGATTTTTTTTTTGATTTGCTTTTGATTTTTTTCTTTTCTTTAGATTTCGTTGATTTCTTTTTATTAGTAAATTTAGTAGAGTGCCAGTTCGTTTTTGACGAATGGGCTGGTGTTGTTGTTGTGGATAGGCAAAATCGAATGAATCTGCCGCAGAACGCGGCTATGTTCCCGAGGTGGCTGTGAGACCTTGTACTTGAGTTACGCGAGACTCTCTGCACACGTTTGGGGTCTGGTAACCTCTCTCTCTTGAGGGATGTCCTGACAGCTCGCTCATAGCTGGCAACGGCCGCGACTGTCGGGATGCCCACACACAATGGGGGAGAGAGAGAGAGAGAGAGAGAGAGAGAGAGAGAGAGAGAGAGAGAGAGAGAGAGAGAGGAGGCTCATGAGCCGAGCGCCTGTATCAGGCGCCTCTTCAACCTAGATACAGGTGCGGGCCGGGGGAGGAAGACCCCTTTGAGCTTGACTCTAGTTGGACTCTATGAAATTGAAAGGGGGAGGGGTAGCGGCCGCGAATGTGGCCATGGTCATGCCCCAGATACAGCCCTACTGGTCTGAGTGTGACCACTCAGACCAGGCCTGTAGTTGGAAGGTCAAGTGGAAAAGTGGCTGAGTATAGCCACTTTTTCAACGTACCTGCACTGGGAAAAGTGTTGGGTACGGGGGAGATGGGAAAATAAAAGGTGGCAGCTGAAAATAACTGCCTCCCTAAGTGTGTGGCTGAGGTGCGGCCACATTGGGCCCTTGATCTTGCCTCAGATCGAGGGCTCAGCTAGAGCTACGATTTTTGCCTGTGGGGAGAGTGTTGGCCACCACCCTCCAGCTGATAACGTGGTTGGGATTCTTGGAACAAGTATTCTGGATTGATTGGAGGAGGATGAGGGATTGCAGAATTGAAATTCGTTTTTCAATTCTCTGTGTATTTTGAGCTTCCGCTGTGCATATCTCCTCTCTGGTTTTGTGTGGATTTGCCTCCTTCGAGTCTACTCTGAAATTGCATGCGTGTATGGGAATGTGTGAATTCGTTGTGGATTGAAGTTCAATCGGGTATATAACAGTTGGTATCAGAGCCATGACCGCGTGCATCCAGTGGGCGAATTAGCGGCCGACATCTGTCGGGCCGGCGGTTGGCGGTTGGGGGCGGTGCCCCGTAGTCTTCAACAGCGTCG